TGGGGCATGTCACCATCTTAGCAAATAGGTTGCCTTGGCGAGCGATATTTGCCGAGGCAGGTAGTGGGTGGCAGAAAGTCAAGGATGGCCAAGCTAAGACCTGGCATGAGGGTACGAAAACCCTAACTAGGAGACTTGGTCACATAAGTCCCGTTTGGCTCCCTGAATAGGGACCTCGTGATGATTTTAATCGGTGGTTTGACACACTGAGTGATATGGCTGGGTGTCGTAAACAGTGGCGTCCGTGCATCTTCTCAATCTCTTTGTGGCCATCATTTACTGGAATTCTCAGTTGTTCCTTCGATTCCACTCTTAACCTTCCTGTTTTCCTCCTACTTTTCATCCAAATGGGCAGCCAAGAGACAGCAATCGGCGCACGGAAGTGCATGGTTATTGGTTGTTCAAACTAAAAGTGAAACTTGCGATATGGCGGAGGCAAGGATGTTTAAAAATTAATAGTTTTGTTTATCGCTGTTCCATAATGGAAAATTCCTTGTAAATTCTAGCAGCTTAGGCTTTTGCAAACAGCCGGATGTGGTACCAGTACCACAGATGTCTCATGTTATAAACGCCAACGGAAAATTTATCCCAATGTTTTACCCAGGTAGCAAACTTTTCTAATTTCTCTATTGATTCCCCTGTTAAGATGAATTTGAGAGCTGGACCGACTCTGACCTGTAACAACATTTGAAGGTAAAATTACATGCCAAACATAGATAGATTGTCGCTCAAATCATCCCAAAATGTCTGCAGTCACTTAACGTACGATGTCACCTGCATAATTTATACCATACAGATTACCATCTGATATCGTATGCAACGATTGTCGCACAAGCACAGGGTTGCTTCTACAATCATGCACATTACAAAACTTATTAGAACAAGAATAAAAGGGCAACCCTGATGAATACCGATTTTTAGTGTGTAGTTTGGGTGGCAAGGATAAAGTTTCCTTCAGCTATTAGCACGATGATATCTTAATAGCTGAACAAACTTATTGTGCATACTAACAACATAGTGGCGAAGAGTACAGCGTGATTGACTGAGTTTAAGATCCCTTTTAAATCAAGAAAAATATTAATTGAGGATCAAGGAAAAGAAGGCTTCCTGTAATTTAACCAATGGTTACAGTACGGTGGATGAAAACTTGACCAGGTTTAAAGTTAGCTCGATGTTTGAGTGTGCACTTTCCACATATGGTAGACAAACGACATAGTACCATACCCAAAAGAACTTGGAGAGTATGTTTACCATACTAGTTCCTCTGTAAATTGCACGTGTGTATATATCCCCGTTGTTGTATATCATTCAGGAGACCAATCTACACAATGAACTCAGAAATGTTTCACTTTTTATGTTCAAAACAGATGTTTTATTTATAAAACTAGGGTTGCGAATCTATATTGAAGATTGATATTTGATTACTGCAGGAATAGATTGGATTCAAGCGGTCTTTTCAGATTTCCCTTTACTTAACTTAATAAATTAAAATATCTGTTTTCCTGATGGGTCACATACTATTCGAAGAAGATTTTCAGTGTCATTTTCCTGAGCCAGAAGAGTGCATATTGTTATGTAGTCAGCTGCAATCAAGAAAATATGAGCGTGTAGTTATTTTCATTATATTTAGCTAAATATATCCAACCTAAAGCATCTTAAAGCACGTAATCCGTGATAGGTTGGTATTGACCTTCTGGTCGTATTCCAATAGGTTAGGATGCATCTGAATCAGCGATGACAGTTGCTGAACGTATACCATGTTCAAACTGATTACTTTAATTACAGATTGCAGCATGCGACACAGTTCCAAATAACCCACATTCACAGATATTGGAGTTGCTCTAATACAGTTTTCTGAGCCCGATTCGATCAAATTCGATGGTATACCCGGAACCGAAAAATATTTCTTGAAAATTGCCCAATATTTGAAGGCAACTTGCCTCCGTTGATCAGTGAGCGTGAAAGTTCCGAATCCTTTACATACCTATTAGTGTTCACGTTGTCCCGATGAGATTGATGGTTACAGAGTGAACAGTAAACGCTAAGTATCAGTGTACAGTGCGTAACATTAAATGTCGCTTGTAACGCTCCATTCAGTCAACTTATGAAGGTTTTGGCAATAACGTCGCCCTTAAAAGGAAAGCTAACAAACAAGTCCTTCTTTTTCATTCTGTCCGTGTGTACTTTTTGTGCTTGCACTATTATATTTTGTTGAATGAAACCGTCTGGGTAGCCAATGCGTCTGAGGATGTTTGAGATAAACATGAATTTATCTTCTAATACATCTTGTGAACAGATTCTCACAGTTTTGGATACCAAACATCTGACCTAGGTTGTTCTTCAAATTTTTCGGTACACAAATGTAAAAATTGTTGTAGTGGCCACTTCATGTTTTATTATGCTACCCACGACGTTCAGAAAATTCATCGTTTTCCAAAGTCACATTTCAATTGTATTTATTGTTTGAATCAAATCTGATCCAGCTTATTTTATTCCCCATCGCAAACGATGTTTTTAAACAAGGCTATTTTCAAGTAATTCGACAAAAGTACGCTATATCTCTTTGTCTGCCGGAATAGAATGTCTAGCGCGAAGCAATATCAAACTATTTTTTCGTTTAGCAGTTAGACTGTGTTTCCAGTGTAGTTTTGTTTTCAGGCAGAAATTAGCGACAAGATAAACAGCATGAGATTCGTAAACTAAGATCTATCAAATGAAAATGATACCGCATTTGAATAGTTGATTAATTGCCTTTTCCAGCTACCGGACTGATTGGATTTTCAATATTCATATCGGCTGCTTTGGTTTTTTGGTTTGGGATCAAACAAATCGTGAATGACCAATCGGATCCCGGTTCTGTGGTTACAGTAAGTGTCCTATTCTGTTTACCAAAACATGCTTTTAACACATTACTTATCAATTCGACGAATAATGACTATTTTTAATCTTCCCATATTTCACTCTAGGTGTTCATGAATGTTGTGTTTGGCAGTATCCTTCTCGGTATTGCCGCTACTAATATACCATACATGATCAGTGCCATAGTAGCTGCGAAAGAAATATATGGCACGATCGAACGGGTGAGTTTGGCTTTTTCTGGTACCTATCCCGTTTTATCTGCCTCTGGTACACACACTATGCAACTATATATTGTTATAACAGATAGAATTTCAGTTTTACAACCATGAACCTTGCGCTTTTGTAATCCGCTCTGGGTTGCGTCTATCGGCTTTTTATTTGGTCAACCAGTGGGTAAGGAAAAAGTAAACGAGTTGAGAAGAGAATTTCGCACAGTCAAATAAAATACATCAGCACTTTGGGCAACAAAAGTTCGCACTACACCATCAGATCCTATTGGACATTCATTGACGTGAGGAATCACACGAAGACTCAACCGTGCAACTGGCAATTTAAGTTGCAGTATCACGGGCCATAAATCTGTTTGCTGCCTATTATTCGTTGTCCTTGTGCACATTTTTGGATTTTTGAAAACAACACATTATGCCACCGCGTTCGATTAGTTATCTTTGTCCAGTGCTCTCACCCACTGGAGCTAATGCGGAGCATTTGCTTTGCTCAACAAAACATGTCTGACCATAAAAGTAACAAAAAGTGTGCGTCCATTGATTAGTAACTGAACTGGTTGGAATAAAAATGATAGTGAGATGTTTTCCCCTGCTTGTCGTATCGGCTGCTTCCTATATACGCAACACAATATCTCACTAGCTAACTCTGCATGCTTACAATCTGCTTCGCTTACTCGTGTGTAAGTCTTCCCTTGCGGTGAAGTCTGTGGTATTTCTTCATTATTTTTTGGTCAAAAGCTGAGTTTCTTTTCGTTTGTTTATCGCGGGTTCTATTTTTTGCATTACCTCCATAAAGGTAGCCATTAGATTTCGTTCTAGATGAAAGTGTCAGCTTTTACGGACAATAACTTTATGATTTAGTCTATTATAGAGCTTTTTAATTGTATCCAATAAATAGATTACCGTGTTACACAATCTACTATGAGTAGAATGAAAATAAAGAAAAAGCATTTCCTCAAAGCACGTGACTGGTTTTACAGTTCTTTCTACTCGTATTTGCCAAATAATTCCTAAGCTCGTGAATTTTGTCATAGTATCCTCACTATCACTTCAGGGAGTTATGTCAAGACAAACCAAAAACAGCAAATCACTGCAAACATTGTGTGCGAAAATGTAGTGGATTGGATACCTCCAAGGTCTACGAGCTCGGTGAGCTCATGTTACTAGTACCAGCACAGGCATGACCAGACACGCGAGTATCAGATGCGTATAGCTACTAAGCCCTGTGACACTAATTTTGGGCTTCTAAGAAATTTCCGTTAATTATAAAAGAACCCAAAGGCTGACCTCAGTGTCAAATTTCCCGCGGCTGTAGCATCTGTCTCACGAAATATCATTGCGGAACCGTCAACGTGTAATCACATTTGACGATTCCGTAATTCCGATATTTATTCTTCAAATCCTTGAGATCTAGTTGAAGATAGTACGGATTAAACGTTATTCATTTTAGATAGATTTAGTACTTTTAAAAAAGTGCGTTTACTTCAACTCGTTGCAAACTTTTCGTTTAACATCGGCTGTGCCCATGGACGTGGCGGTTTTTGTCAGCCTGACAAGCAATCTTGTTACGAAAAGGCCACCATTTTCGTTAGAAAGAGGCGTTTGAATCTGAACCATCACCATTTGAGGGTCAGCACCAGCACCTTGTTGTCCTACAGACGGCATTGATCTGTGCCAGGGATAGAGTTGTATCTTCGAAGCAAAAGACCGAATTGTGCTAGAAATATCACTTTAAACCATATTCCCATGGTTCTCCCTGGATTCCTTCGTGAAGCGGGCTTGTTTTAGGCGGAAAACATTTCACGTCGGACGCTTCCGCTACTGTTCTTAAAAAGTAGAAGGGTGCACACAGATGAGATGATGTAGTTCTGACAATCTAGGCTTTGTTTTGGATTTGCGTGTATACGGAAATTGTGGCTACATTCTAGCGGTATGAAATAGTTTTGAAAGACCAAGTCCCGTTTAAAACATATCATAATTGTTCCTAATGACTAACTGTAATTTGCCGTTCTCAGATAGTGACTCACACCTGCATTGGAAAAGATTCAACAGATTTATACTCAGGGCCATAATAAATTGTGGCAAATAAAACGATTGATATTGACTTGAGATATTTTCTGGAAGGAAAGGTACCGTAAACCCATTACTTTCTAGTGGTCAGTTATGGTGAAAAGCATCGTTCTTGCGCACAAGCAGGCTTTACGCATCGCTTTTATTTATCATTTGTATACACATTTCTCA